ACAACGTCGTTGCTAAGCGACGAAAACCCAACCCCGATGGCAAACACCGGGGGGGGCGTTTTTCGAGGGGGAGGGTAAAACCCTGTCGTTGTTGTTGTTCGTTGCGTTTGTGGGGGTTGTCGTTTGTACGTCAAGAAGAGAAGATTGAGGCGCTCGCGGTGGATCTCCATTTCATGCACGTCAAGAACAGGGTGGTTTGAGGTATTTTCAGTGCACAAGTCACGAACGACCTTGTTTCACACTCTCTGCCCTTCCCCTGAAGCATCCAGACCCACCACGCACACTCACCAAGCGTTACTGCCGCACGGTCTGGATATCCACACCTCCGTCCCCGTCTCCAGATTTTCGCGACGATGCAGCAGCGGACGAACCATTTCTCGACCTTCGCCCGCCCCACGGAGGTGACGTACGCGCACCTCATGAGGGCCTCGGTCATGGCGGAGGACTACGGGCGCGCCCTCGAGATCTGGCGGCAGCAGCTGTCCGCCGGGGTCGCCCCCGGGCCCCGCTCGACGCGGGCGGCGTTGGCGGCATGCGGGGGGGCCGGGGATGTGGACACCGCCCTCCAGGTTGACGAGGCTTTGCCCGGCGCGTGTCACAGCAGTATTCCACAGAGGAACGATGAAAACTCGTTTGCCCTCTTAATCGGAACCCGAGAAGCGGGTAGATTTTTTTTTTCGTTTCTGCGTCTGTCGCCCCTAGCCAATTTTCGCCCTGTTGCTGCCTGCGCTTCGTGTGGGGTTTCCCATGTTCAGGTTGTCGTTTCTGTTCGTGAACCGTTTTGTCGCATGGCAAGTGTAGTTGGCGCCCTTTCGCTGGTTGTTCTGTTGGACTCCGGACAGGGTGTGCATATGTCCGAGCAGTGAAGAAGAGCGTAATCGGGCAACGGGCGGGACAGAGCAGCAGGGGTTTCCTGCTCAACTGTGATATGTGTGTTGAGACTCAAGGTGTGTGAGATCTTCTACGGTAGTTGAAGTTGCCTTTTCCATGTTCACGTCGCCTCTGTTTGAACCGCAGGTCTACGACGTGATGCGCGAAGCCGGCATCCGACCGAACAGCCGCGCCTTGCTCGACCTGGTCAATCTCTGCCGCGCCAACGGCCTGCAGAGCGTTGCGGCTCGCATTATGCGGGAGCGTAGCAAGATCGCCGCCACCACCAGCAGACGCAAGAGCAACGTTTCGATGCGAAGAAATTCCGCCGGCAGCACCTCCCGCAAAAGAAACAAAAGCACCAGAAACACGAGCAGCGCCAACAGAGGTAGCAGCACCAGCGGATACAGCAAGAGTGGCGGCAACAGAAGTAGCAGCAGCAATGGCGGCGGCAGCAAGACTGGTACTTGAAATATGGGCGATTTGCAGCCCCACCAGTGGTGGCAAGCAGCACTTGAATGCGCAGCCGTGCGAAGAATGGATATCGTCGGCAGAAACACCTACTGGCACTGAGACTCCCTGTAGCACCGGACGCGCTCGTCAAAGTGCCGCAAGGACGGCGGCTGACAACGATGACAAGCACCGACGGCCAAGGCTTGGCCTAACGGATGTTGCTAATAGGCGTGGAAATATCTCGGCAAGGGAACGGGACAACAAGGACCTATGCCATACATAAGGGTGCAGCCGGCGTCCGCGGTATGTGCGGGCTTGAGTCCGAAGATGGGAAAGTGCGATCATGAACGAACATCGATGCACGTGGAGGAGTTCCCCGCCCACTTTGTCGGAGGAGCTGCGCCCCGGCGATTGAGCACGGTTGGTTCGCCGCGAACACACCTGCTCTTTCACTGGGGCTTCGACAGAATCGCGATGGCCCATACGTGGGCAGCGGTTTCCCTCAGGGACAGGGCGTTGGGGTTCGACAACCCCCCCCATTCTATCTTTGAGCCAGCCGCGGGCACTCCGATATTGCCACCGGAGCTTCGAATTTGTGAATGAGCGGAGGAGGTATTGCGGGGGAACGTCGGTATCTTCCTCCCTGAAGATGCACGTTCCGAACCCATACGTTGTGACAGCTACGGCTGTACATCCCCCGCCCCCCGAGGTTTAATGTTTGATGCGAGGCTTGGGCGTGGCTTGTCCTGCTGCAGCATACCGCCGCTCTTGACATCCTGTCTCCGGGCCAGGGGGGGGGTGTACTCATAGTAGTGCATGTCGTAGTCGTTAGACCATTGACCTGCAATTTATTTTCTGTTCACTTCCAGAGGCAGGTGTAAGCACTGTAACTGCCTCGAGGGTGCTTGACCACTTTAACACAACGTGGTGCGATCATCCCCCTTGCGCGGAGTGAGGGTTCTCGACCCTGCACAACATGATCTAATCGACCACCGTTGTGGTTGCCGCCAAAAAAAAAAGGTAAAAAAACCCCGGCAACCTGGTTGCCGAGCTCACGAAGCGAATTGGCTTGTTTGGGAGGTAAGGGGGGGGGGG